CACCATAACAGACTACATGACATATCACCATAACAGACTACATGAAGTATCATCATAAACTTCATGACGTACCACCATAGTAGACTACATGACATACCATCATAATTTACATGACGTACCACCATAACAGACTACATTACATATAACCATAATAGACTACATGACATATCACCATAACAGACTACATGACGTACCATCTTAAACTACGTGACGTGCCACCATAACTGACTACATGACGTACCATCATAAACTACATGTCTTACCACCATAATAAACTACATGACGTACCATCATACACTACATGACGTACCACCATAACTGACTACATGACGTACCATCATAAACTACATGTCTTACCACCATAACATACTACATGACGTTCTATCGTAAGAGCTGAATGAATGACTACCATAGACTAAATGACGTACTATCATTAGATACTAGATGACGTGCAACCATAGACTACATGACGTATCATCATGAGCGACTTTATTTCCGAACATAAAATGGAACTTAATAAAAGACTAGATTACATATCATATTAACAGAGAGCATGACGTACACGCATTACCTACCACCATAAGAGGGTTTCTTCCATTCTTTATGATGCCTACAAATACATCACGGAAAGCCCTGCTAAATGGATTTGTATCACTGTGGATAGTTTGAAAGTCTTCACTGCAAGCCACCTATCAATACAAAACAATACGTCTTTCTTAGTACACCTTCATATGCTACTGTCATCTTTTGGTATGATCACATCAGCACTTTACTTGGTTTTTCTGTGTGTTAATTACTGTAGCCCTTGAATGATTTTATCAATTAAAAGTAGTCTCATAACTTGTTAAGTCAGTGAAACAATACAACGGTATCAACACAAATGATGGCAGTAATGAACCGTTACAATATGATAATGATAAGACAGTGTTATCGTAACGAATGACAGTATAACACAATTGCAGTATGATAGAGACTAAAGACGTTCTCATAATGTTGCAATGTCACTTAAAACAGTAACAGTCTGATAGACCATTAGGCGGTGCCTATAATAAGTAGAATTTTTAAATTGTATCATGTAGCGAATATCATAAATCACTACAGTATGATAGTTAAAACGTAGTTTATATCAGTAACAAACAAGTACAGTTTGGTAGTGTATACGACAATGTAATTTATGCGTAAAACTTAATTTATATCTGTAACAAACAGGTACAGTATGGTAGTGTATAAGGCAATGTAATTTATGCGAAAAACTTAGTTTATATCTGTAACAAACAGGTACAGTATGGTAGTGTATAAGGCAATGTAATTTATGTGTAAAACTTAGGTTATATCTGTTACAATCAGATACAGTATGGTAGTGTATAAGGCAATGTAATTTATGTGTAAAGCTTAGTTTATATCTGCAACAAACAGGTACAGTATGGTAGTGTATACGACAATGTAATTTATGTGTTAAACTTAGTTTATATCTGTAACAAACAGGTACAGTATGGCAGTGTATAAGGCAATGAAATTTATGTGTAAAACTAAGTTTATACCAGTAGCAATCAGATACAGTATGGTAATGTATAAGGCAATGTAATTTATGTGTAAAACTAAGTTTATATCAGTAGCAATCAGATACAGTATGGTAATGTATAAGGCAATGTAATTTATGTGTAAAACTAAGTTTATATCAGTAACAATCAGATACAGTATGGTAGTGTATACGACAATGTAATTTATGTGTAAAACTTATTTTATATCTGTAACAATCAGATACAGTATGGTAGTGTATAAGGCAATGTAATTTATGTGTAAAACTTAGTTTATATCTGTAACAATCAGATACAGTATGGTAGTGTATAAGGCAATGTAATTTATGTGTAAAACTAAGTTTATATCTGTAACAATCAGATACAGTATGGTAGTGTATAAGGCAATGTAATTTATGTGTAAAACTTAGTTTATATCTGTAACAATCAGATACAGTATGGTAGTGTATAAGGCAATGTAATTTATGTGTAAAACTAAGTTTATATCTGTAACAAACATGAACAGTATGGTAGTGAATACGACAATGTAATTTATGTGTAAAACTAAGTTTATATCTGTAACAATCAGATACAGTATGATATCTGTAACGAACAGGTACAGTATGGTGGTGTATAAGGCAATGTAATTTATGTGTAAAACTTAGTTTATATTTGTAACAAACAGGCTTCGGTCACGAGCCAGGCGTCCTACCACTAGACTACTGTGCCTCCTGTATTATGTATACTAGCATAATACACCGTACGTCAAAGCAGTGATGCTTCCTAACGCTACCAACATTGCAATCTCTAGGATACTAGAAGAAATTAATACGTTACAGAGTGTAGTAAACTAGCGAGAAAGAGTTTTTAAAATACTTTGCCTTTCCAATTAAATCCAGGGCGATATGGTTAAACTCGTTGAACATGTTAATTTGTGTTCGGCCGTCGGCAAGGTAACTGAGCTTGGTGACTAGAACATCGGCTGAATCGTTGAATTCACCCATCATATTCCGCATTTGGCTGGGGGAAATTAAAAAGAAAAATCAATTGTCCTAAATCTTTCCGTTGATTTATATAACCTAGACAACATAATTATTTGAATGGTGGCGAAATGACCTCAAATAACAATTTACTGTCACGAACGGTTAGACATGTATTAGTCAATATCCTATTGAAGCCTGGTATTCACCAAATCACAATTTAAGTAGAAAAAATATCAATGACTTAGAGGAAATGAGTAAATACGGGATACCACGAGAGAGATATTCACGATTCAATGTCTACATATATTGATATATTGTACATTACAATTAACGATCTTCGACAGTGGTTATACAATCCGTAACATCATGATGTGTTGAGATATATGATTTTTTTTTTGCCTGATCAAATAAAACCAGACAGACTCACAGCATGGAATCAACGGGGGCAGACGAAATTTGGATCGATCCGGCAACTGTGATAGCACCGGTTTGAATCAGGTTGATTTCACGATTTTAATACAAGAACAACAAAAGTTAAACAACATAACAAACGTGATAACAAGAAAATTATAGCTGGTGCTTTCAAAGTTCAGATCAACATTTATGCTAAAATATTCCTGTTTATATGAAACTAAATTCTGGTAGCTCTAGCCTTCGATGTCGACCACAGTACATTGACCGACATATCAACGGGAACAAACTTAAACCAGCCGTCTGGTACTGATATCAGTCGATCCAGACATTTCTGATCCTAACATTTGTCGTCTGCGTTAGATTCCACTCTGTGAGAGTAGACGTACATGTATTGATCTCTGATTACACAATGAGCACCTCTCTCTACATCATTGTATTGTATACTGGATGCCTGGGGATAAGACACGCCATGGTTGACTGTAAAACAAGTAATCAAGTTCACTGTATTCTTTCGTTTTCAGCCTAAAGGTGTTTTTCAAGACTTGAATTTTACCGAAGGAAACATCCCTGATGTCAATACACAAGAAATGAGACTATTTGGCGGTCATATTTAGTCGATAAACCTGCTGTGTGTTATACCATAGCAAATTGAGGTTTACATGCAGCGCGGAGAGGAGAAAATATAACGGATATTTCCGACAGTAAAATCACATTATACCGACACAAATGTCAAAACACAGTACAGCTGTACTTGAACTCCCTTCTTATTCATGTAAGATAACACAAACGAAAATTATTTTAAAGTTATTTTTGTTTTATTTTAAATACATTGTATATATAATTCTGCGTTGATTTTTGACGTTAGTGACATCCAAAGTGAGGCTGAATTACTTGAACCTTTTGGGGTCATGCTAATGTTACACGACGTGTCGTGCTCATTAGTCGCTGACATTAGAAATATCTATCCGGGTTTCATAGCAAATAACTTCTTTTGTTATCGCATTTTTGTTACATGAATTAGAGTGAGCTATAAGATGCCCAAGCTCTGAACGTTTATATTTGGCTACTAAGAGTGTCATTGGTGACCTTTAGAATATCATTGGTGACCTTTAGAATATCATTGGTGACCTTTATAATGCCCTAGCGTCTGGTTCTGTGGTACCTGTTGCCGCGCCATTGGTTGCACAAAGAGTGAGAGAGTCTTGGTTAACATGTTCGTGACATTTACATTGCTCCTGGTGACCTCTACATTGTTAATGATGCTTGGCAGTGTCCATGTTGAAATTCAACGTGCCATTGGTTACATTTACAGTGTCCCTAGAAACTCTATATAACTTATTGGTTACATTTGCAGTGTCCCTAGGAACTCTATATAACTGATTGGGTACATTTACAGTGTCCCTAGGAACTCTGTATAACTGATTGGTTACATTTACAGTGTCCATAGAAACTCTATATAACTGATTGGTTACATTTACAGTGTCTCTAGGAACTCTATATAACTTATTGGTTACATTTACAGTGTCCCTGGGAACTCCATATAACTGATTGGTTACATTTACAGTGTCCCTTGGAACTCCATATAACTGATTGGTTACATTTACAGTGTCCCTTGGAACTCTATATAACTGATTGGTTACATTTACAGCGTGCCTAGGAACTCTATATAACTGATTGGTTACATTAACAGTGTCCCTAGGAACTCTATATAACTGATCGGTTACATTTACAGTGTCCCTAGGAACTCTATATAACTGTGTCCCTAGGAACTCTATATAACTGATTGGGTACATTTACAGTGTCTCTAGGAACTCTATATAACTGATTGGTTACATTTGCAGTGTCCCTAGGAAATCTGTATAACTGATTGGTTACATTTACAGTGTCCCTTGGAACTCTATATAACTGATTGGTTACATTTATAGTGTCCCTGGGAACTCTATATAACTGATTGGGTACATTTACAGTGTCTCTAGGAACTCTATATAACTTATTGGTTACATTTACAGTGTCCCTGGGAACTCTATATAACTGATTGGTTACACTTAATCTATATAACTGATTGGGTACATTTACAGTGTCCCTGGGAACTCTATATAACTGATTTGTTACACTTACAGTGTCCCTAGGAACTCTATATAAGTGATTGGTTACATTTACAGTGTCCCTAGGAACTCTATACAACTGATTGGTTACACTTACAGTGTCCCTAGAAACTCTATATAACTGATTGGTTACATTTACACTGTCCCTAGGAACTCTATATAACTGATTGGTTACACTTACAGTGTCCCTAGGAACTCTATATAACTGTGTCCCTAGGAACTCTATATAACTGATTGGGTACATTTACAGTGTCTCTAGGAACTCTATATAACTTATTGGTTACATTTACAGTGTCCCTGGGAACTCCATATAACTGATTGGTTACATTTACAGTGTTCCTGGGAACTCTATATAACTGATTGGTTACATTTTCAGTGGCGCTTGGAACTCTATATAACTGATTGGTTACATTTACACTGTCCCTAGGAACTCTATATAACTGATTGGTTAGATTTACAGTGTCCCTAGGAACTCTATATAACTGTGTCCCTAGGAACTCTATATAACTGATTGGTTACACTTAATCTATATAACTGATTGGGTACATTTACAGTGTCCCTAGGAACTCTGTATAACTGATTGGTTACATTTACAGTGTCCCTTGGAACTCTATATAACTGATTGGTTACATTTACAGTGTCCCTAGGAGCTCTATATAACTGATTGGTTACACTTACAGTGTCCCTAGGAACTCTATATAACTGATTGGTTACATTTGCAGTGTCCCTAGGAACTCTGTATAACTGATTGGTTACATTTACAGTGTCCCTATGAACTCTATATAACTGATTGGTTACATTTACAGTGTTCCTAGGAACTCTATATAACTGATTGGTTACATTTACAGTGTCCCTAGGAACTCTATATAACTGATTGGTTACATTTACAATGTCCCTAGGAACTCTATATAACTGATTGGTTACACTTAAAGTGTCCCTAGGAACTCTATATAACTGATTGGTTACATTTACAGTGTCTCTAGGAACTCTATATAACTGATTGGTTACATTTACAATGTCCCTAGGAACTCTATATAACTGATTAGTTACACTTAAAGTGTCCCTAGGAACTCTATATAACTGATTGGTTACATTTACAGTGTCCCTGGGAACTCTATATAACTGATTCTGTTATCTCTCTACATACCTTCTCTGAAACCAATGTTGTAGTTTTGGTCTCAGCAAGTTGCCTTTGCTGGCGTTGTGGTCACTCTCTGTCAGTAGTCCTTCCCCCAAAAACCTGACACGACACATAATCATAATATTTAGAGAAAGGGTTCTTGAAGCATGAAATGAATAGACATAGATTTTGTTGATAACAACAAAATAACAGAATATCAAGCAGAGAGCGGAGTATGAGACTGCATGGCGTAACGCAAAGTCTTCATGGCTATTTTATTATAATTGAAATACTTATGGTTGTCGTAGTTTCAACAAATGATACACTGAAAAAGTAAACATTCAGTACGTATTGTCGTTATGCGTATTATGTACGTCAGTATTAATATTAATTGGTTTTTTTTTATAACAATGGAGTCAACGTGTGACGTCACCAGCTAGTGCAATGATGTTATTTAACCCGTGAAGCGTGACGTCACCAGCTAGTGCAATGTTGTTATTTAACCCGTGTAGCGTGACGTCACCAGCTAGCTATAGTGCAATGATGTTATTTAACCCGTGTAGCGTGACGTCACCAGCTAGTGCAATGTTATTATTTAACCCGTGAAGCGTGACGTCACCAGCTAGTGCAATGATGTTATTTAACCCGTGAAGCGTGACGTCACCAGCTAGTGCAATGTTTTTATTTAACCCGTGAGGCGTGACGTCACCAGCTAGTGCAATGATGTTATTTAACCCGTGTAGCGTAGAAACTATCAACAAAATAAAAAATAAAACAATGAAAATTTCTTACTTCCTTATCATGAATAACCCGATATAGAAACATGTTTTTAATAGGAACAAGAGCATGACTGCAACCCTCACCGACACGATACCACGAGATCATTGAACGGAACGGTTATATACATATTACATAAGATAGCGAGACAGCATAAACAACCGACGCTCACCAAGAAACAAAGATGTCTGCTCTTGTTTATTAATAGTCATTTTCTGACAGGATACGGAGAACATCGACTTTCCTTTCATTTGGCGTTTCCTTAATGTGTAACGTTTCCCACTTTTGCCTGACACTGACACTGACACTGACAGTGACACTGACAGTGACACTGACACTGACACTGACACTGACAGACACTGACACTGACACTGACACTCACTGACACTGGCACTGACACAGACACTGACACTCACTGACACTGACACTGACACTCACTGACACTGACACTGACACTCACTGACACTGACAGACACTGACACTGACAGACACTGACACTGACACTGACACAGACACTGACACTCACTGACACTGACACTGACACTCACTGACACTGACACTGACACTCACTGACACTGACAGACACTGACACTGACAGACACTGACACTGACACTGACACTGACACAGACACTGACACTCACTGACACTGACACTGACACTCACTGACACTGACAGTGACAGACACTTACACTGACAGACACTGACACTGACAGACACTGACACTGACACTCAATGACACTGACACAGACACTGACACTGACAGACACTGACACTGACACTGACACTCACTGACACTGACACTGACACTGACACTCACTGACACTGACACAGACACTGACACTGACAGACACTGACACTCACTGACACTGACACTGACACTCACTGACACTGACACTGACACTGACAGACACTGACACTGACAGACACTGACACTCACTGACACTGACACCGACACAGACACTGACACTGACACTGACACTCACTGACACTGACACTGACACTGACACTCACTGACACTGACACTGACACTGACACTGACACTGACACTGCAACCTTTATATAATAGCTAGGGAAAACTAACTATCCCCATTTTATCTAAAATATGAAAATGTCAATAAAATTCATTATCAAAATTGATCCGCTGGACCATTTTGTTTTACGAGTCTAAATACATGTCAAGTGACATCCAAATCCATGATTGTTACAATCAAGGATAGCATCGTCAACTGTTACAATCCAGGATAGCAACCTCAACTGTTACAATCAAGGATATCATCCTGAACTGTTACAATCCAGGATAGCATCGTCAACTGTTACAATCCAGGATAGCATCCTCAACTGTTACAATCCAGGATAGCATCCTCAACTGTTACAATAAAGGATAGCATCCCCAACTGTTACAATCCAGGATATCATCCTGAACTGTTACAATCCAGGATAGCATCCTCAACTGTTACAATCAAGGATAGCATCCTCAACTGTTACAATCCAGGATAGCATCCTCAACTGTTACAATCCAGGATAGCATCCTCAACTGTTACAATCAAGGATAGCATCCCCAACTGTTACAATCCACGATAGCATCCTCAACTGTTACAATCTAGGATATCATCCTCAACTATTACAATCAAGGATAGCATCCTCAACTGTTACAATCCAGGATAGCAACCTTAACTGTTACAATCCAGGATAACATCCTCAACTGTTACAATCAAGGATAGCATCCTCAACTGTTACAATCCAGGATAGCATCCTCAACTGTTACAATCAAGGATAGCATCACCAACTGTAATAATCCAGGTTAGCATCCTCAACTGTTACAATCCATGATAGCATTATCAACTGGTACAATCCAGGATAGCATCCGCAACTGTTACAATCAAGGATAGCATCCTCAACTTTTACAATCCAGGATAGCATCCTCAACTGTTACAATCCAGGATAGCATCCTCAGCTGTTACAATCCAGGATAGCATCCTCAACTGTTACAATCAAGGATAGCATCCTCAACTGTTACAATCAAGAATAACATCACCAACTGTTAAAATCAAGGATAGCATCCTCAACTGTTACAATCAAGGATAGCATCCTCAACTGTTACAATCAAGGATGGCATACTCAACTGTTACAATCCAGGATAGCGTCCTCAACTATTAAAATCCAGGGTAGCATCCTCAACTGTTACAATTAAGGATAGCATCCTCAACTGTTACAATCAAGGATAGCATCATCAACTGTTACAATCCAGGATAGCATCATCAACTGTTACAATCCAGGATAGCATCCACAACTGTTACAATCCAGGATAGCATCCTCAACTGTTACAATCAAGGATAGCATCACCAACTGTAATAATCCAGGATAGCATCCTCAACTGTTACAATCCATAATAGCATCATCAACTGTTACAATCCAGGATAGCAGCCTCAACTGTTACAATCAAGGATAGCATCATCAACTGTTACAACCCATGATAGCATCCTCAACCGTTACAATCAAGGATAGCATCCTCAACTGTTACAATCCAGGAAAGAATCCTCAACTGTTACAATCCAGGATAGCATCCTCAACTGTTACAATCCAGGATAGCGTCCTCAACTGTTACAATCAAGGATAGCATCGTCAACTGTTACAATCAAGGATAGCATCATCAACTGTTACAATCCAGGATAGCATCCTCAACTGTTACAATCCAGGATAGCATCCTTAATTGTTACAATCCAGGATAGCATCCTCAACTGTTACAATCCAGGATATCATCCTTAATTGTTACAATCCAGGATAGCATCCACAACTGTTACAATCCAGGATATCATCCTTAATTGTTACAATCCAAGATAGCATCCTTAACTGTTACAATCCAGGATAGAATCCTCAACTGTTACAATCCAATCAAGGATAGCATCCTCAACTGTTACAATCCAGGATAGCATCCTTAATTGTTACAATCCAGGATAGCATTCTCAACTGTTACAATCCAGGATAGCATCCTCAACTGTTACAATCCAGGATAGCATCCTCAACTGTTACAAACCAATCAAGGATAGCATCCCCAACTGTTACAATCCAGGATAGCATCCTCAACTGTTACAAACCAATCAAGGATATCATCCTCAACTGTTACAATCCAATCAAGGATAGCATCCTCAACTGTTACAATCCAATCAAGGATAGCATCCCCAACTGTTACAATCCAGGATAGCATCCTCAACTGTTACAATCCAATCAAGGATAGCATCCTCAACTGTTACAAACCAATCAAGGATAGCATCCCCAACTGTTACAATCCAATCAAGGATAGCATCCTCAACTGTTACAATCCAGTTTTACATTAAAGCTGTTAAATTGTAACCCGTGATGTTGCAAATGTCGGCCTGTCTGCAATCTTAGCAAAAAACCCAGTTTAATTGACATGCCAAAGGTCAGACATGAGTATTGGAGAGATAAATTGACTGTATGCGCATATATAAAACAAGTTTATCCATGAGTTTATCTGGAGTCCATGCTTATTCAATTGATGAGAATGGTATGTATATGCTATTACTATCTAAATACTTATTCGTAAGCAAAGTAGTCTAACACACGAAATGACGGATGCTACTTAACATTTATACAGTATACTGTATTAATATTGATAGTTTCCCTCTCATTAGTATTTTCTGCTCTTTGTTGAAAATTTGTGTCTTTATAAATCACATCACAAACTTAAAACTGCGGGAAAATGATGAAATTATGAATGAATATAACTAACTACATCGTTGATTTTAGTATTATGGTTTGTTTGTAAATCACAGAAAATTAATACAGCTAATTTTAGACCTACTACAACGAATGCTGATTGATCGTAAATCATAAAAACTTAAAAGCTGTTAATTGTTTGGTTGTTAATCATTGAATTTCATGTTTGTTTCCGTTTTCATCGTTATGTCATAGAAACACCATGGCTAGCTCTCGGAGCAGTGTTTCTGGCAAGAAGGAAACTTTCATGATATAGTAAAAAGTAGTAAATTACACCACGAGCTTGACATTGTCGGATTTTAACTAGAAATTGTAGTAACACTTGTGTTTTAAGAACCGACCAGAGGGAATAATCCACTCTGCTCCTATATACGAAGATAACAGTGGAAAATCAAAACTATCTGAAGTAATACATGTAAAAGAACTTCTCACCTCTCGCCGAAAATATGGCCCATCGTTCCGTAAACTTGCTTAGGTTTTCTGTTGTTAGAGACTACCATTTCCTGTTAGAAGACGAACATAAATGTGGTTCAGATTTGTGTTACCTACATTGTAGCCACGGATTCATACATACTATCATTCTTTTTGAAAGAAATTCTTTACAGATCTAAACGGGGAAATGTTAATGCATATACTGATGGGACTATGATAGCAAATTATGTATATAGCTAATGTCTCTGAAACTGCATTTCGCGCCGAAAGTACGAAAATAACAAAACAAGTAGGGATTTAAGATTTAAGCATGATTAAGCGTTTCTATAATATATATTAGCCTTGCAAGTGTTTGAGGAACGAGTGTTCAACAAATATTTTTTTTCATCTATTCATATTTTTAATTATTCAACAGGACATTAAACTTAAAATAACATAAAAAAAACTCCAGACTTTCAGTTTTATACACGATTAGTCCTTTCGTTACCATTTTTTGTGGCATTTGTACTAAATATAAAACAAAACTAAGAACAAACAAAACCATGGGATCTTTTCCCTCTATTACGAAGATAGCAATAGTGACCAGTAGTTCTGCTAAACAATCCTGAAATGAGTTCGTGCACAAGGTAAGATATATATCATTATAACAGACATACATCATATCGTCAAAACATTATAAATGAATTCGTACACAAGGTAAGATATATCATTATAACAGACATACATCATATCGTCAATACATCATAAATGGGTTCGTACACAAGGTAAGATATATCATTATTACCGACATACATCATATCGTCAATACATTATAAATGAGTTCGTACACAAGGTAAGATATATCATTATAACCGACATACATCATATCGTCAATACATTATAAATGAGTTCGTACACAAGGTAAGATATATCATTATAACAGACATACATCATATCGTCAAAACATTATAAATGGGTTCGTACACAAGGTAAGATATATCATTATAACCGATATACATCATATCGTCAATACATCATAAATGGGACGTAAAGTTGCACACAAATAAATATCTAACCTTGGTTATTTTTCATTTCAAATCAAATTATTTACTCCAGATAACTTATTGAATTTAAAAGCAGAATACATGTTTAAGAATAGATGATCTGTTTTAGTCAAAGGTAATGAAATTGTAACGTTAAAAAGGGCTTTATAAAAAAACTTCCCTTTTTTTATTTCCTACATTCATTTCTTAACGCTTTTCAATCTTTTAATTACCACTGATAAATCTGAAATGGTCGAAGTGGCGGTATTGTATTACCTGCATCACTTGCTCGTTGTAATGATCATGTTTTTAAATTGTTTACAGCATTATTGCGATATTCCTGTTGTGGAGAAATGACGAGCCATACGTGCACGCCCCACAATCTCAATTGTTGGTAACTTAACCTGGACAAAACAGTTGTCTCCGTAGGTATAAGATAAGGCTAAGTTGGTGGTGTATAATGAATGCACAGGTAAAATGTTACAATCCATCAAATAAAACGCTGCAGCAGAGTTAAAAGTAAACTTGTACGACCTATTTCTCCTTCTGATTATAGAGATGGTATTGAGGGAAAATTCAGAGTACGTTCCATGTTTCAAATCTAAAACGTTGTGAAAAATCAACGGGAACCCTATAAAATTTCTAGAATTCCAAACGGTTAATTAACATTTACAATTTAATTCACTCGCTGACATTAACTCCATTATTGTCTATCTGAATATGGTTTTTATAAGGCCAGCCTGCAGGCAATCGTTGTTGGTTTGCAATGACATTAGCATACACTATATAGAATTAATGGAAGAATGAGAAGTGTATTACCATGCACCTGTTACATCATTCCGATGTAAATATACGAGTATGCCATTGTGACTGAGGTTAATACTACAGATAAATTTTGGATGCGTATATTATGTTAATTTAACATCATGGCATGCAGATGTGTATTAAATGGACCTTTATATACATCTAAAAAACAGGTCTAGTTTTGTTTAGAAATACAGTCAATTTGCCTTACTTAGGGATTATGTAAAAAAAATAACAAAGTGTCATGTATTGTCATGGAAAACGTTCCATTGAGTTGTATTTAGTAGTAATTGGTACTAGTACTTATTTTAAATGGAAATATTTAAACACAGCATATAAATAAATATATGTCATTTGTAACACATAAAGGTTTTAAACGTTGTTTTCATTTTGTTGTGTTAATACATAAAGGTCAGAACACTTTTACATGGATTTTCAATCATTTGACCTCATGAGTCAAACGAGTCCTAAAGGGACAAACTGTCTATTTCGTGCAGTAAATGTTATGTTTATATACACATAGAGTGTAAGGGCAGATATGAAGTCAGAAAGGCAGACAAAAAAACAACCGTGTCATTTTGTAAACATTTGTTGGCTTTCTGCATTAAAATATTATAATTGAAAATGGTTCTTTCCTGCTTCGTCTTTCTAGTAATTTTCATCACAGCTAACTGATCTATTATGCAGACATTTAATCACAAATTTATCAAAAAAAAGATGGAGTCTTACTTTTGTTTCGTAAAGATCCTGATAGGAAGGCACACTAACATGAACATTTTAGAAATATGAGCTATATCTGTACACACGACCAAGAGGTATTCAGCTAGCAAGTGTACAAAATGCACGGGCACGCATCCTTAACCCTTGAGGGCGAACGAGAAGAGCAAGACCAGCAACAACATAGTCAGGACCCCTAACATTGAGCTGAAGATTATGACCATGTCCTAGGAAGACCAAAAAGGCAGGTAGAGACGGAAGGCAATAGTGAATGCCCTATGTACCAACCGGAATGTTTACATTCCAAACAAATACCTGTAATATTGTGATGTAAATACTGTGTGTTACGCATACTGAAATGGATCTACCTAAATGAATGTTTGTTGTTAAAAGTTGTTTTAACTTTTAATCGAATATCTTACTTGAAAAGTGACACAATCGTATTTTTTTTCTGTCTGCCTTTCTGATTTTATTTGTGTCCTTACACGCATTGTGTTTTATGCTTACCTTTATCTGGCACTGTGTGATATCGTAATCTTCCCTTATTCAAATTTACAACACACTTAATCAAACTATTTATATTGTTACCACTGTTTCTATGCAATTTCTTCCCCATACAAAATAAAAGTTCTACACTTGCAGTGGTACATCAAGAAAGGTGTACGCTAGAAATAGGTGGACGTGGAATCGAATAAATTAGTACATATATTACGCTGTATGTCTTGTCTTAGCTACACAACCGCGATTAAATACAGTTTCAAGAGAAATATTAACTTGTAATAGCTTTGTATTGCAGTCAAACATGGTATACTTGTACATGAATATAGAAATCATGAGAACTGCAGATCCGAAACGCTATTTCTTCCAAAACCACTCTAGGTTTCCCCAATCCCACTATCACTCTAGGTTTTCCCACTCCCACAACCACTCTAGGTTTCCCCACTCCCACAACCACTCTAGGTTTTCCCCACTCCCACAACCACTCTAGGTTTTCCCCACTCCCACAACCACTAAAGATTTCCCCACTCCCACAACCACTAAAGGTTTCCCCACTCCCACAACCACTAAAGATTTTCCCACTCCCACAACCACTAAAGATTTCCCCAATCCCACAACCACTCTAGGTTTCCCCACTCCCACAACGACTATAGGTTTCCCCACTTCCACAATCACTAAAGATTTCCCCACTCCCACTACCACTCTATGTTTTCCCCACTCCCACAACCACTCTAGGTTTCCCCCACTCCCACAACCACTAAAGGTTTCCCAACTCCCACAACCACTCTAGGTTTCCCCACTCCCACAACCACTCTAGGTTTCCCCACTCCCACAACCACTCTAGGTTTCCCCACTCCCACAACCACTAAAGATTTCTCCAATCCCACAACCACTCCAGGTTTTCCCCACTCCCACAACCATTAAAGATTTCCCCAATCCCACAACCACTCTAGGTTTCCTCACTCCCACAACCACTATAGGTTTCCCCACTTCCACAATCACTAAAGATGTCCCCACTCCCACAACCACTCTAGGTTTTCCCCACTCTCACATCCACTCTAGGTTTTCCCCAATCCCACAACCACTCTAGGTTTTCCCCACCCCGACTAATTGAATAATGCTGCTAGGAGGTTTAAGTTGCCCACTAATGGGTAACACACTCGACGTTCTTTTATTGGTCAATCGTTTAATTCTGACGTCAATTAATAATGCTTTGTTACGTCAAAGTTCATTGCAATTGTTTCTCCGATTGGAAACAAGAATGCTGTATTAGATAACGTTATAACCATCCACCACTCTCTGGGAAACAGGAATGCTGTATTAGATAACGTTATAACCATCCAACACTCGTGGGGAAACAGGAATGCTGTAATAGATAACGTAATAACCATCCACCACTCGGTGGGAAACGGGAATGCTGTATTAGATAACGTTATAACCATCCACCCCTCGGTGGGAAACAGGAATGCTGTATTAGATAACGTTATAACCATCCACTCGGTGGGAAACAGGAATGCAGTATTAGATAACGTTATAACCATCCACCTCTCGCTGGGAAACAGGAATGCAGTATTAGATAACGTTATAACCATCCACTCAGTGGGAAACAGGAATGTTGTATTAGATAACGTTATAACCATCCACTCAGTGGGAAACAGGAATGCGGTATTAGATAACGTTATAACCATCCACTCAGTGGGAAACAGGAATGTTGTATTAGATAACGTTATAACCATCCACTCAGTGGGAAACAGGAATGTTGTATTAGATAACGTTATAACCATCCACTCAGTGGGAAACAGGAATGTTGTATTAGATAACGTTATAACCATCCACTCAGTGGGAAACAGGAATGCTGTATTAGATAACGTTATCACCATCCACCACTCGTGGGGAAACAGGAATGCTGTATTAGATAACGTTATACCCATCCACTCGGTGGGAAACAGGAATGCTGTATTAGATAACGTAATAACCATCCACCACTCTCTGGGAAACAGGAATGGTGTATTAGATAACGTTATGACCATCCACTCGGTGGGAAACAGGAATGCATTATTAGATAACGTTATAACCATCCACTCAGTGGGAAACAGGAATGCGGTATTAGATAACGTTATAACCATCCACTCGGTGGGAAACAGGAATGCAGTATTAGATAACGTTATAACCATCCACTCAGTGGGAAACAGGAATGCTGTATTAGATAACGTTATAACCATCCACTCGGTGAGAAACAAGAATGCTGTATTAGATAACGTGATAACCATCCACTCGGTGGGAATCAGGAATGCTGTATTAGATAACGTGATAACCATCCACTCGGTGGGAATCAGGAATGCTGTATTAGATAACGTTAAAACCATCCACTCGGTGGGAAACAGGAATGCTGTATTAGATAACGTTATAACCATCCACCACTCGTTGGGAAACCTCTATGTTCCGTATATCTTCATTTCTGCATGCTGTGCTAAATTATATTACCGACTCATTGTTGCCTTCTGTCTCGCCTCAAAGACGGGTTTACGTAATATCTAACTGTTAATATAGTATGATAATAAGTTGATAACACTTCAGGTAGCTTACCTTGATAGCTGTAGGATCTGTTGTAAAAACTATAGCCTGATTCATAATGATCAGTCGGAATGTTCGCCCGTACTTCCGCGCACTGAAAAGTAAAGAAATAAAACATAAACAATAAACTCAGGTCTCCATAATTTAGTTGATACAAAATATAATATTTAAACTTAAACCTCCCTCATATAGTTGATATAAACTATAATATATGTATATAAACTTACACCTCCCAAATATAATTGATTTAAACTATAATATATAAACTTACATCTCCCTAATCTTATCAATATAAATTATGTAAACTTACATCTCCCTAATCTTATCAATATAAATTATGTAAACTTATGTCTTCCTAATCTAATTGATATAAACTATAATGTATTAACTCAAGTCTTCCTAATCTAAATGATATAAACTATAATGTATTAACTCAAGTCTTCCTAATCTAAATGATTTAAACTATCATAATTATATAACCTTATATCTCCCTAATTTATTAGATGTAAACAATAATTTATATATTGACATCACCCTTACCTAATGTACATTGTGAAAATAAGTGTATAAATTCACGTTTCCCTAATACAATTGATGTAAACATTAATTAACAAGAGGCCCAATGGGCCTGCATCGCTAACCTGGTATAAATCCCACACTTGTAACCTTAAAAGTGATCTAAAATAAAGCTACAGGCAAAATAAGATATCAGTATTTATGATTAAAGTTCATTCAAAAGAACCTGTTATTTTTTTTTTAAACATTTCACCCCTGTGATTGAAAGTCGATCAAAGTCATTATGTTGAACAAATTTTATAGCCTTTCATCTCAGGATGCAACTTGCAAAGTATCAACATCCTGGGACCCATGGTTATTCAGAAGAGGTCGTTTGAAGACTTTAAACAAATTTGACCGCTGTGACCTTGAATATAAATCAATCCATTCACTTAAACAAACATAGTAGTCCTTGATCCCAGCATGCTACTGACTAATTATCAACATCCTGAGCATTTTTGGTTATTCAGAAGAAGTTGTTAATGTTTTTCACATATTTGACCCCTGTGACCTTGAATATAGGTGAAGGTCATTCATTTGAACATACTTGATAGCCCTTTACCCTAGCATGCTACTGGCCAAATATCATCACCCTGGGCATTTTGGTTATTGAGAAGAAGTTGTTTAAAATATTTAACATATTTGACCCCTGTGACCTTGAATATGGGTGAAGGTCATTCATTTTAACAAACTTGATAGCCCCCTTTACCCAAGCATGCTACTGGCCAAATATCATCACCCTGGGCATTTTGGTTATTGAGAAGAAGTTGTTTAAAATATTTAACATATTTGACCCCTGTGACCTTGAATATGGGTGAAGGTCATTCATTTGAACAAACTGTGGAGCCCTTCATCTCAGCATGCTACTGGCTAAATATCATCACCCTAGACATTTTGGTTATTGAGACGAAGTTGTTTAAGGTTTTTAACATATTTGACCCCTGTGACCTTGAATATGGGTGAGAGGTCATTCATTTGAACAAACTTTGTAGCCCTTCATCTCAGCATGCTACTGGCCAAATATCATTACCCTAGGCATTTTGGTTATTCAGAAGAAGTTGTTTAAAGTTTTTTTAAAACAATTGACCCCTGTGAGCTTGAATATGGGTGAAGGTCATTCATTTGAACAAACTTTGTAACCCTTCATCTTAGCATGCTACTGGCCAAATATCATCTCCCTGGGCAGTCTTGTTATTGAGAAGAAGGTGTTTAAAGTTTTTAACATATTTGACCCCTGTGACCTTGAAAATGGGTGAAGGTCATTAATTCTAACAAACTGTGTAGCCCTTTATCCCAGTTTGCTTCTGGCCAAATATCATCACCCTAGGCTTATTGGTTATTAAGAAGAAGTCGTTTAAAGTAAAATATTGACGCCGGACGACGGACGGGCCAGCGGGCCAGGTGAGCTAACAAAATGTACCGTAGTGTCAGCACGCAAGGATAATTTGTACCATAACAACAGCACACAAAGAAAAATGCACCACAGCGCCTACACGCAATGACAAAATATACCACAGTATCAACACACAGGAACAAAATATACCACAATATCAACACACAAGGACAAAATAAACCACAGTATCAACACACAGGAACAAAATATACCACAATATCAACACCCAAGGACAAAATAAACCACAGTATCAACCCACAGGAACAAAATATACCACAATATCAACACCCAAGGACAAAATAAACCACAGTATCAACACACAGGAACAAAATTTACCACAGTATCAACACACAAGGACAAAATATACCACAGTATCAACACACAAGGACAAAATACACCACCGTATCAACACACAGGTACAAAATATACCACAATATCATCACACAAGGACAAAATATACCACGGTATCATCACACAGGAACCAAAATTTACCACAGTATTAAAACACAGAAACAAAATATACCACAGTATCAACACACAGGAACAAAATCTACCACAATATCAACACACAAGGACAAAGTTTACCACAACTTCAACACACAGGAGCAAAATTTACCACAGTATCAACACACAAGGACAAAATACACCACCGTATCAACACACAGGTACAAAATATACCACAATATCATCACACAAGGACAAAATATACCACAGTATCATCACACAGGAACCAAAATTTACCACAGTATTAACACACAGAAACAAAATATACCACAGTATCAACACACAGTAACAAAATATTCCACAGTATCAACACACAGGAACAAAATTTACCACAGTATTAACACACAGAAACAAAATATACCACAGTATCAACACACAGGAACAAAATATACCACAATATCAACGCACAGGAACAAAATATACCACAATATCAACACACAAGGACAAAGTTTACCACAACTTCAACACACAGGAACAAAATTTACCACAGTATCAACACACAGGAACAAAATTTACCACAGTATTAACACACAAGGACAAAATATATCATAGTATCAACACACATGGACAAAATATACCACAGTATCAACACACAGGAACAAAATATACCATAGTATTAACACACAAGGACAAAATATACCACAGTATTAACACACATGGACAAAATATACCACAATTTCAACACACAGTAACAAAATATACCATAGTATTAACACACAAGGACAAAAAATACCACAGTATCAACACACATGGACAAAATATACCACAATTTCAACACACAGGAACAAAATTTACCACAGTATCAACACACAAGAACAAATGATTATACCACAGCATCTACACTCAACGACAAAATATACAACATTTCCAGTATTCAAAAATCAGATATATTCCAGTGTCAACGTACATGGAAACCAATATACACATACAAATACCGCGGTGTTAACACTCGCGGTTACCATAACCACAGTGTCAAAATAAAAGGACAAAATCTCAAGTCGACGTGACAATAGGATTGATGAGATATTTAAGGTGAGACATGATAAAGTCCCTCCAGCAGACCAAACCAGCTTCTCTGGAAAGGCAACTGTTTACTGAAACAAACGTGGCACCAGTCATGCTTATGCATTTGTCATTGAGTTAAAAAAATGTCTGATGCATACGTAAACAGCGAACTGAAGTATACATGCGCTAGGTCCGAATCATTTTATTCTACTACCCCACACACGGATGAGTTGACGATGTTTTGATTCGATTCACAGCACTGAGTTTACCGATCTAATCAATCTACCCTGTGATGAAATTAAAACTTTAACAAAAAATTCGATGTGTTTCTATTCCAAATACGAATGAGTTTTCCTCCCGGTTTAAGTTTAATTAAAATTCACGATGAATCGATTTATAAAGATACCGGCATTTCATATGAAACACGCAAAGCAGTCAGTAGGTTGTGTGTGAGGACACCTACCACATCAACTTCGTACTGATCACACAGTCAAATGAACCGTGCTACACGTAACCTATCATTACTCAGTGTCTTTGTCCTGTTAGACCACCATCCCAGGTAAATTCCATGTGAAAACTCGAGTCGTTACTATAGCAAATCGGAATCTGTTGTATATACAACCCATGCATCACAAAAGGCCCTGTAATCACCAGGGCTCAGCTACTCAAAGTCTGGTTTAATTTATTTATGGAGAAACTTGGGTCATAAAGCTAATCTCATGCTAAAACTCAGATTATGTACTCAAATCTAATTCGTTCTGCAAGAGATAAAGTAAAAGAATGTATCTGTGCATTTTGATAGGTATTTGAACTGATATAAAGCCGAATACCGTTTTAAATGTTTACAGATAACTTTTGTTTTCATCATAACACAAGATTTTAACGAGTTACAAGAAAGATAGTTTGAGCACATACTCACTCCGACTTACACTATTGACTACCCCAAAAACCTTATTTTACAGTTCGTCCATTATCTAACAGTTAGTATTGCTTTTGCTATTCAACAACTCGGTAACATCAAGTTATTGATTTACTAGCAATCGAAGCTTCACCAAAGAAAAAAACCATACTTACTTCTGCAATACGTAGGAGAAGAAATGGCCCCCTTCCTTGATATGTTTGACGAGTGAAGGAGCATTTCCACCGATGAAGCTGAAAGATATATGTAACATAATAAAAAACTTCAAAAAGACAACAACAGTATTCTTTACACAAGCTATTTTACGGTTTTTTAGTTTACTTTTATTCGCTGTAGACAGTATTCGGGGCAATCTCAGCCTATACATGCACACATTTATGTGCTAAATTGTGATATTATTCTTGGATCGGGTTAGGCGGCATGTTGTTGTAGTAGTGTGGATAGTGTCCCACATTTACTGCAACATATTGTTTACGGACTGTTATTGTGTTTGTGCGCTAAAAGTGGCCACAGGTTACCAGAATGCATTTACGAACTACATCAGTTAGTAATATATTGCTGATACAGAACTGCGTTCGCGTGCAAGCCTCATATTGCAGTTCTGTGTAAACTTATTGCTAGATATTACGAAAGCCTACACCGGTCAGGCAAAACATCTTATCCTTCAATAAACATTAGAAAACTACCTTGCCAACCATACTAGTTAGTGTATCTTTGGCTACGTAACGTGGATCCAATTCCTATGACCCAAAAGACCTTACCTCCATGCTTTATACCATATCGAATAAGATGTTCCATGCCAAATTAAAATATATTCCTTTTCGATACTTTAGAAGTAGTATATTAAAGATTTGTTTACAATGTCTATTAACATTGGGTGCCACCTCTCCCCTCCTTCATCCCTCACGTGAGAGGCATCGTTCATTTATACAACACTCAATCCCGTTTGGATGTTTTAAATAAAATTATGTTTAAATATCTTTATCCAAGCTAATGAAGTAGTCTTTTTAAAGATTTCTCCCTTTCTCCTATTGGTCCCTGCTCCTGGGGACAGGGTATACACTTTTATGACATTAATTTGCCTTGGCCTAAAGGATGCTTCAAGTCGGATAAGATGCAGGATTTCAAAATCTGCCTTTAGGGGGAGGAGCACATTCATTTACATAACATGGAATTCCCTTTGTCAATGGATTCTCCATATTAAATATGGCAAAGTCTTTTCATTCGTGGAATTTTAAAAGAAATGCTGACAACGGACGCAGCGCAATGAAACACAGGTCAAAGTGACTAAAAATTACAGCCGTCAATAGCGGTAGCCGTCAGCCTTTCGTAAAGTAGCTGCGATACACAAACTGAATTTCAATGATTTCGTTTTTTCTTCAGACAGAGTCGCTAATCCTACAGCTGCAGCGTTAACCCTCAGCTTGGCGACAACAGCGCACACACGCTATAATAAAGCTCCTCAGGTGTTGCCTTCTGTATAACCAGGTGCTTTTTTAACTTTATCTCACACATGCACAAGTGAACGATTTTATTGGTGAAGTTTGCCTTCCAATGATATCTTCTTTAATGGGACAAAATTATAAATTTTCCTTTTTTAACTTTATCGCCGATTCACCTCATGTAACCTGGACAACACTGAATGACTATTTTTTGTGCATTAACTCCAGGCAATCATACATGAGGAACCGTCTGAGGATGTAATACACCAGCTACGTTCCTGTACATCAACCCCCTCTTAGTAAGGCTGAGGAACCGTCTGAGGATGTAATACACCAGCTACGTTCCTCTCCATCAACCCCCTCTTAGTAAGGCTGAGGAACCGTCTGAGGATGTAATACACCAGCTGCGTTCCTGTACATCAACCCCCTCTTAGTAAGGCTGATGAACCGTCTGAGGATGTAATACACCAGCTACGTTCCTCTCCATCAACCCCCTCTTAGTAAGGCTGAGGAACCGTCTGAGGATGTAATACACCAGCTTCGTTCCTGTACATCAACCCCCTCTTAGTAAGGCTGAGGAACCGTCTGAGGATGTACTACACCAGCTACGTTCCTGTACATCAACCCCCTCTTAGTAAGGTTGAGGAACCGTCTGAGGATGTAATACACCAGCTACGTTCCTTTACACCAACCCCCTCTTAGTTAGGCAAACGTTCAAGACGTATTCAAATTTCGTTACCATTCTGTGAATGAATTAATTTGATTCATGGAAATACTTTCGATATGATGTGCATATTTTTATGTGTTATATATTCAAGCACGAAGTGTTTATTTCCTTGATGTAGTTAATAAGTGGGTGAAATATTGGTGAAAAAAATGTTGGATATCCCTTTCAAGATCTCAAAAAATGAAAAACCAAGTCAAACTGTATACCACACACCAATAGTGGAACGTGCATTCCATGCTATACATTTATAACATGTATTTCACAATCTTTATTAATATTCATATTGTTTTGGTGATAAATGTTTTAGTTACAAACAACTGATTTGTTTTTAGTTCGTGAAAAAGGGCTACTTAACAATATATAAAAATGCAGTATTATGTATTTTGAGTAATTGTGTTTCAGGATCAATCACTTCAGGAACTAATGCAAAAGTACAGATATCGCAAACAAACAAAAATAAGCAAGATATCTCGGTCCGTATTGAGCACGAACAACCTACTTTACCTAGATTGAGCAGGGCAAACTCTACACAGGTTTCATTCTCAGCAGAACTGACCTCCAAGAGTTCAGTTTGATTTCAATCGACAAGGTCCAAAATTGATGTGATCATGTTTCTTTCCCTGTAGATAGTGAGATTAGGGAGGCATGTCTGAAGGTTAAATAAACAACACTACATTCTCGCTAACGATCAAGAGACCGGAAGGATAAAAATGCATTAGTTCTGACAAACATATTTTTAAATAGGTATGGGTCTGAATTGATTTCGTTCAGATTAGAACCAGAGAAGATCAGATCATTTGGTTTCAATCATAAAGAACATAGCTGGCGTATTACACAATATCGACCATGTTCTGCAATTAAAGTCACGAGTCCTTGTTACACCACAACCTGAGAACGTATACCGTCATGTTAGCTAGACATGGCGCATTCATTTACCGTTACGTCTGAATTAGGTATGTAACGTACCTGTCAAGTGGGGGTCCCGGTAAATGGCTGTACCGCAGGTGTAATCTGTGGAGGCACCAACAGAGGTAGGCAACACAGGGCAGAACAAGGAGGAGAAACAACTCCCCCCAGAACAGCAACATGGCTGGACACGATCACTCATATTCTCCTGCACATCCTCATGGTGCGCGCTGTCATTGCTCCCGGGGCCTGCATTATAAACTTAGCATATTAATCATCTCGTAAATTATCTGCATATAGCTTTTTTCCTAGAATTATAACGGCTTCAATACATAGAGCATATACAAGCCACGGAATTAGATTAGTTTAGTCCGCAATCTAGCTATATATAGCTACGCGTGTCTAAATCTGGTAAACCCCTGTATGTTACGATCAATTTAAACCATCGATCTCGTATTACATAATTTGTATATTTCCGAACCACACTCTCACTTGGTAATAACAGTACATCTCTGTGAATCTCCATTAGCCTGGTTTTAAATACAAACTGCCATACCTTTTCAAATTAACATAAAACATTTTCTCCGTGTACGAATATACCAAACGGCTCTATCCTCCACCAGCCTCTCAAACACCAATCGACGCGTGATTAGCTGTTTCTTCAAACAGGTATACATAATGAAGTCAACCATTTCTGTTCCCTTTTGTTTCCTGACTCATTTGTAAAACGCGTTGTTTATTCATTGCACCTTTCGGCAGTAGTACGCTGTAAACATATTGATAGTAACGTTGTGTAATTATACCGCAGTAGCTTCAGGACCTCCGTACATTTTGTTGTTATCTTTTGTTATGCCTACTCCTGACAACGTTTCTTACACAATCTACAGTACATCTTAATTAATTTGACTTATCATTATTTTGAGTTTATAAACAAATTAAGCAGTCAATCTCGCCGCAGTTCCTGGTTCAGATTATTTCAAATATTCAGTTTTTGCTGGTTTAATGCTGAAAAAGTAACCATACTATATGGTTATGTTTAAATTGAAATATTACCGAAATCAGAGGGACGCTACGTTTAGGTATTATAATATCACTTCACGGCGATATTTATATTTACACAATGCCCAAGTCTAATCACGGATGTTCGGCACCGTTTGCGTTACAATGCTGTTGATTGATGGCAAATGACACGTAACTATAATTATGATGCTCCATACCACGTGACACATTAGCTCCTTACTCACGTTTAAATGTTTAAATCTATTTATGCCGTGCACAAAAACATGCAGTTCCAATGCATAGCAAATAACGTGCACCTGTAGAACAGGTGTAGATCAAATACAAATACCTGTATGACGAGCAAATATCAAATATGTGTACCTGTATCATAAAAATATAGCAAATACCTATACCTGTATGACTCTTGCATCAAAATACATATACCTGTATGACTGACATATATCAAATATATTTACCTGTTTGACAAATATACAGCAAGTACCTATACATGCACGATAACCGTATATCAAATTCATACACCTGTATGAAACAGACAACGTATATCAAATACGTTTACCTGTATGTGTATCGCAACATGTATAATTGCCTTACAACGAATACATAGTACAGTATTGCAGGCGACTCCAAATACGTATTGTATCACATGTATCAATCATATCACTTAGGATAAATACGTATCCATTGTATCACATGTCTATCACTATACGTATATATCGCATCACGTATATCATAATACGTATCTATCACATCACGTGTATCACAATACGTATCTATCGCATCACGTGTATCACATCACGTGTATCCCAATACGTATCTATCGCATCACGTGTGTCACAATACGTATCTATCGAATCACGTGCATCACAATACGTATCTATCGAATCACGTGCATCACAATACGTATCTATCGAATCACGTGTATCACAATACTTATCTAACGAATTACGTGTGTCAAAATACGTTTCTATCGAATCACGTGTATTACAATACGTATCTATCGACTCACGTGTATCACAATACGTATCTATCGCATCACGTGTATCACAATACGTATCTAACGAATCACGTGTGTCACAATACGTTTCTATCGAATCACGTGTATTACAATACGTATCTGTCGCATCACGTGTGTTACAATACGTATCTATCGACTCACGTGTATCACAATACGTATATATCGCATCACGTGTATCACAATACGTATCTATCGCTTCAACTGTGTTACCATACGTATATATCACATCACGTGTATCACAATACGCATCTATCGCATCACGTGTATCACAATACTGTCTATCGAATCACGTTTATCACAATACGTCTCTATCGAATAACGTGTATCGCAATACGTATCTATCGCATCACGTGTGTCACAATACGTATCTATCGAATCACGTGTATCACAATACGTATCTATCGAATCACGTGTATCACAATACGTATCTATCGAATCACGTGTGTTACAATACGTATCTATCGAATCACGTGCATCACAATACGTATCTATCGAATCACGTGTATCACAATACGTATCTATCGAATCACGTGTATCACAATACGTATCTATCGCATTACGTGTATCGCAATACGTATCTATCGCATTAGATGTATCGCAATACGTACAAATCGCATTACGTGCATCGCAATACGTATTAATGGTCGCAATTGGTCCAAACAATGCATATCATATATAACATTAATATTCCAATACGCCTCAAAAGTATCACAGTAAATATGACTATTTTATAGCTCGGTAGGAGAATCCCAATTTGTAGCTACTGTATCACAGGTGAATAACAGCATCTACCAAATTTATCACAACTGTATTTCAATACTTCTATTTCATCACATGCGTATTCATTGTGTCCTATGTAGTTTGCTAATCACAAGACGTATTCATTGTGTCCTATGTAGTTTGCTAATCACAAGACGTACCCATTGTGTTCTATGTAGTTTGCTAATCACAAGACGTACCCATTGTGTCCTATGTAGTTTGCTAATCACAATACGTACCCATTGTGTTCTATGTAGTTTGCTAATCACAATACGTTTAAATGTGACACATGTATATCACAGTAGACATTATATCACAATGTATCACAAATCCACATACATTGTATTAACAAACGTAGCTACTGTATATGTATCATCATCAACATTTTATGTCACATGGTATAACCGTTCGTGTTATTACGAATATCCTAAATCACTTCACAATTTCGCTGCCACTTACCTGTGTCAGTGCTTTAGCACCCACCAACGATAGCCTAGAACAACACGAATGTATCTCCAGCGCCTGTACGAAGCCTCCAATATAACCATGGACAGTGGTTTACATCCGGCACATGGACCGCTGTGTACATGTTCCCTGTTCATATATGTACACACTATCTGACTTAGGTCACTGTCCTGTATGGGCTATATACCGCCTAGCTCGGTTATCCAGAAATGATGTCCCCAGCGCCGACAGCGTCGTTAGCTTAAAGAGGCTAGTCGATCACAATATTTCCAAAGATATAATTAATTAACATAGACTTTGTTGGGAGCGGTAATAAAAGCTACTTAACATTTTTAAGTCTGAACATGGCCAATTTGAATCTCAACATGTTATGCTTCTTCTATTGATTTCTATAAGATTGAAAAATCTTTTGCTGATAGACTAATCAGGCCGGTACAACAGTGAATCGGGAGGGGACTCCCACTGGCTAGTCGGCCACCTCGGGTACAGCAAAGGGGCAATGCACACTCTTGAACTGATCTTCACATCAAACACTTATACGACGACAACAACAGGAAAAGAGCAGACACCACAGCAAACGAAAATATTAGCAGATAACTATCTAGTTTCGTTATATTGGTAAACGTTTCTCGAACCTCATGTGGCTCCCGTCTAGGCCTTTCCCACGGACCATAAAATATTACACTGTGACGGGGGATTGCCTTGCTGGTGTTATCCTCCAATATTTATTACCATCCAATAGACTGTAGATGGTGATACACTCACCGGAATCCAAGTACTGTGCAGTTATATTGTTATGAATACACCAAAAATGAGATGGGACTTCGATTACTTTCAAGGCTTTCAAGAAAAGTGCTATGAGAATGGCATATGCAATTAAAGGCAAAAAATACATCGTTAAATAACTTGTAGAAAATGAATAGAAATTTGGAAACCTTGTCTGGTAAGAGAAGTGCTTACCAGCAAACGGCGTATCATTGCGAAGTCACAATGCGCATGTATTCCACCAAACAAAGCTATTAAACGAAGTATATTTAGAATTCTTACCAACTACATCTCGAAAATGGTATTTAGGAAGGTGAAACTATAATATATAGTATTAAAGTTAAAATAAGTTTAAGTTTCAAATGGTTAACTTTATATGATAAAATTCAACATGGTCTTTTAAAACACTGTCAATGAAGAAACACAGGTAATATCCTTTATAATTCACATCAATTCTGATATCCAGAAATAAGACCGTTTGAATACCAGTCTAAGGACTTTAAACACTATCTCACATCAGTTAAATTCCATTAAAAAGTAGTCATATCGGAGGGTCATAATCTATATCCATATCAGATATAGAATCACAACCTTAAAACTAACCTAATCTGAAACATTTCAACACGACGTGCACGCTCTCAAACATTTCAACACGACGTGTACTCTGTCAACGCGACGTGCACCACTCTGTCAAACATTTCAACACGATGTCCACTCTGTCAAACATTTCAACACGACGTGCACTCTGTCAACACGACGTGCCCCCTGTCAACGCGACGTGCACTCTGTCAAACATTTCAACACGATGTCCACTCTGTCAAACATTTCAACACAACCCTGTTTCTACGTGCACGACGTGCACCCTGTCAACGCGACGTGCACTCTGTCAAACATTTCAACACGATGTCCACTCTGTCAAACATTTCAACACGACGTGCACTCTGTCAAGCCCTATTGTTCTAGCTAGATCCAAGGGATGAATTGACAAGGATGTTAAAACCCAATTCGAGGATGCTTTGTGTTTGTAAGCTGAAGTTTTGTTAACGTAATATTGACGGAAATCACAAAGTTCAAAAAGATCACATTAGTATTTGACAGCATAAATCGATTTCATGACTTGACTAACTACTGGTAAAGGAGGTTGGATCAACTATTAATCAACAGAAATAAGATCCAAACAAACGAATATCTTAACTTCTTGTCTCGTTATCTCTTGCACCAGAAACTGGGCGTCTGGAACACTTCGCTGAAGGTATGAACAAACTTTGGCTCGACTGAAAAAAGTCCATCTTGGTGGACAGAGAAGGAGAGAGCTTGACAGATTACCGACATGATATGGGACAAAGGGACCTCAAAGCTATCGAATATCTAGGACCGAATGTTACGAAAAGCATATTTGAATTGGTTATGCATGAGTTACGCTTGACTTATTATTAAGTCCATCAACGTGCACGTAAATCACCGGAGTGTTACGAGATGATTATAACATATACTTCGTTTCTATATATGTACACATATCTTTTTCATTTTCATAAACACAATTAAGCATATGTATGTGTAAATGTAAAAGGTACCACTCCGTCTGATAAAATCGCATCAACAGTTCCGCTCAAGAGTTGTCATTACGACATAGAATATGCTCTCTTCTTTATTGGTTCCAATTATCATCTCCTTGACCTATATATTTAAAACGACAAGATACCGTACAATAAGCACACATCTAGCTTAGGAAGTCTTTAATCTATCAATGGGGTTCAAATGGTCACTACTTATACATATAACACCGGACATTACCCGACCTTATCACGCTTACCTACACCTCTCCAATACATTGCCGTACTGTCCCAATGTTTACTAATGGGTATGCCCTTTGTTGTCCCATTTGTCGGAGTCTTCCGGTACAATAGGTATGCCATTCATCAGGTTCAGCAGTTGTCTTTCTAACTATGTGTAATATGTTTGTATATGTATATAATACAAGCAGCAATGTATTTGATAAGAATGATCTAGATCGTTACTCGATAACGATATTTCAATTGATATCTATGGACAGAATTCCGATGGAACATTCGTACGTCGTCTTTCGTTAGATCACAAATATGCCCGAACTGACGTGAGTTTCAGTAAGATTTTAGCGTTATATCATAAGGATTTCTGGTGAGGATATTTCACTTTGTTATAGCATTTCTGTGTATGTACCTTTGTTTAGACAGTTTACTTATTAATTAAGTCAGTCCCATTTATGAAATTGTACTTTACGCCAAGCACAACATCGCTTAATTGAAAACCCTTCATTTCACCTGCCAGGCGTTATATGTCATAGAGTTGAAGTGCGTACATTAACCATACCATTTCGAAGTTATAGCCTGCTACAATTATGTTAATGAAGAAATTATTTGTAATTGATTTATGGTATATGGTTAACATATAATTCAAGTCCAATTATGTTACGTGTCAGGTAGCATATATCAGGCTGTTTCCATTTGTTCCTGAAATAAGCGTCCTCTTCCATCATAACACTTCTACTAAGCAGGAGTTGAGAATCTGCACACGGCTGGTAATCACTTAGAATTCCTAGCAGATTGTGTTGTGTTATACTTGTTCATGGATAGTCACAACATAAACAAAAGAAATTTCAGACTATAATAATATAAAGTATGATTATAATTGGTATATTACTAAAATATAAAACATCAGACATCATACATGTAATTTATGTTTGTGAAACAATATTCTAAAAATATTTATCTATGATGTGTAACGCTTGGTTTTCGAAAAGATGTCAAAACCATGAATTTCTTATACAGAATATGCAGTCTGACACATGTATAGAAATGGTCCATGTTTTCATGAAAACTGTTATTGCATTAGTGGCAATTTGACTAAAACCAAGCTTGGTACAACATAAATAAACATTATTTATTACAGCTATTATTTGACAAATATTCACCACAGGTAAACTCTCTGAATTAAGGATTTGGTTATAGACTAACCCCATAAACTAGGTCACAGTCTATGAATATATATTTCTAGATGTTTCAGTAACGATCCGTTGATAAATATATCTTACCAAAACATCTGTAGAGCGGTACAGAATATACACCGATACGTGTGTGAGATGTGTAAGATCAATGTTACGGTATGTAAACCTAAAAGTGCACAGAAAACAGTTTTTTAATCAAAAAGGAGGTAAAACTATTCGTAGCTTTGAAAATTAAATACAGCATTTGTCATATGTTATAATCACTTCGCATTAACTTAGAGTTAGACTTTAATTAATTATCTCGTGTATGAGGGAGTGAACAAAAAAGGACCGCTAAATGTTTTATCAAATGTATGTATTTATTTTTAAAAACATTCTGTTATTTTTTGTGGATATGTACAATGGTGCAAGACAGTGTTTTGTTTGATTTTTCCCTTTATGTCCCCTCCCTGTCCTGTTTTTTCCCTTTTATCCCCTCCCCGCACTGTTTTTCCCCTTTTATTCCCCCCCCCCCCCAACCCTGTTTGTTTTTTCCCTTTCTGTCCCCTACCCTGCCTTTTTTCGCCTCCCCGCCTTTTCTGTTTGGTCTCCCCTTTTTACACCTCCCCGCTATGATTTTCCCTTTTTTTGTCCCCTCCCTGCCCTGTATGTTTGTTTTTTCCCTTTTTATCCCCTCTCCGCCCTGTTTGTTTGTTTTCCCTTTTATTCCCTCCCCGCCCTGTTTGGTGTTTTTTCCCCCTTTTTGTGCCCTCCCCGCTCTGTTTGTCTATTTTCCCCCGTTTTATCCCCTCCCCGCCCTGTTTGTTTGTTTTTCCTTTTTTTATCCCCACCCCGTCCTGTTTGGTTTTTCCCTTTTCTCCCCTTTTCGTCCCCTGCTCTGCCTGGCCGGAGATTTAAAATGTTCACTCAGGAAACTGAATCTAATGACGTTTGTATATCGTGTTGTTTTTATTTCTGGTTTTTTTACGTGGTGTTTTTAATGAATAATTTACACAATTGATTGTTGCTTGGCCGACTTTAAGTGGTGATGACATCATTGATACATGTCTAAAGTTAACAGCCTTGCTATAGTTACAAGTCACCAGGGGTGCTCGTAGGCGACCTACGTCAATAGTTGACATCATACAAACTTATTATAGATGTGAACTATTGAATCGTTTTGAGTTAAAAAAATCAGGATTAGTTATCGTACCTTTAAGACTCCTTATAGATGACGCACTGAGCAAGGTACTACATCAACTAATAGCCAAGGCTCAGCTGTGAACAGAATTAACAGCACTTGGTTTTGTCTTTGGTTCTTATTTTTCTCGTTTCTGTGTGTTCGTCGCATCCTGTTATTAATTTGTCGACATCTAATACCTATCGGGTGCTTGTGCTTTATACATTAG